AGTTTATCATCTTACCCAGGATGGGGGAAATTGGGGATATGCAATACACATATGTTAAGAATATATTAACATATGTACACATATGTTAAAAATATATTAACATATGTACATTACAATTTGATCATATTGAGACTGTGCAAGCATTCCTTACATATGTTTGAGTAGATGTCTCTGTTTTTTTAAACGGTGTAATTAACATCTACCAACCTGGCTTTTCAAGAGTCTTTAACAAAGAAAATGTATAGAGTTTTAGTAGTGTTTAAATCTGCATCTCATTTATATAGGAGAAACCATTGCATAAATTCTTGCAAAGGTAGTTGATCTTTCCTTTGTCATGAAATTTTTTCATGGCTGAGTGATCTAAAAGCTCAATGGTGGGGGGGGTCCCTCAATATAAGAGAGATATACAGGTTTGAACTCTGCCAAAGAAAACATTCTTTATTAAAAACCTACTTCAGTAGATGTCAATTACACTGTTTAAAAAAACAGTGATGTATAGAATTTAAGGTTGTATGTTGGTGTGTGATAGGTGTGTGCATATTTATATATAAATAATTAAAGAAGAACAAACAAAAACTTGGGTTTCTACTATGGACTGTTTATCCTTTTCCTGTAGTGAAACAAAGTTTTCAATATCTCTTGGGTACATCCATTTCCTGTTCAGAAGTTAGTGTAAGTAATGATAAGAATGATTATAATGACCAAGCACAAGTCAGCTTTGCACTGAGTTGAAACGACCAAAGTAAAAGTTGCACTGAGTTCATCAGTGGATGCTATACAAGACAGTGGAAAGATAATGCTTCTATCCTTTCCAGAAGTGGGAGGTGGGGGTCATAAAATTGTACAGATGACCAAACCTCTTTCCAGTTCCTTTATTACTAACATCATGAAAATGTATTTATTTATTTATTTTTTTTATTCTTTATTATCATTTTGTTTATTGATTTTATTTCATTTTCCCACTGATGTGTACTCAAACACCTGTATCCAGTAAATATAATATTTATAATTATAAGAAATATCTCTCTCTCTCTCTCAATGGTAGTCAGTTACTGAAACCTCCTGATGAGGGGACTGAATAATTACAAAATGGTTCATTAATGAAACTCTCAAGCTGAGGTACTAAACTGTATAACATCAATGAGCTAAATGACAAATTTTATTTGTATTAATCTTATTTGTGTGTGTGTGTGTGTGTGTGTGTGTGTGTGTTAGATAATTGAGAAAAAATTTAAAATAAAATTTTAAAATAAAAGAAAATAAAAATAAAAAAATAAAAAAATAAAAATAAAATAAAAAAAAAGAAAATAAAAGAAAATAAATGTTCAAGAAAAAAATCAGTTAGAACACTTAAAAAAATGATTGTATACAAGTTCAATTTTTAAAAAATCAGAAAAAGATTATTCAATAAATTAACCCTCTAGTTTGAGAATTGCCTCAGTGCAACCTCAGACATTCTTTCAGAATCAAATGATTCTTGTCCACATTAGATATTCAACAAATCCTTGCTATTGATGGTTCACTGGTTGGTCTGTGGTGACCCAGTTCAGACCTTTACAGTTAAGACCCACTATACACAGGGGCAAACCATCCTCATTTCTTTCATATTCCATTGGTAAGGAAGATCCATTCAGGCAGCTTCTTCCTAAGAGCTGGTGCTTTATGAAATAGACTTCTGAGAGGATGCTTTCCTACGGCTACAATCTTAACTTCTTCAAGTCTAGTATCAACTGTTATCCTTGTCATCTGCACTTCTTACCTCCTCTATTTATGTCCATAAAACAACCTCGTTTAGTAACCCTCTATCTTGAGTGGCTCTTGGGCCTTATACTGGGTGAACATTTAGCAGAAAAAATCAAAAGTAGTTCAGGGTATTCAAATTAGGAGAACTTGGAAACAACATGTTGGGAGTAGCATAATCATAAAAGTTTTCAAACAGTAATTCCTCGTCCCGTTTGTCATGTAGGAGAGAGCAGAATCCTCTGGAACATGTACACCAACCAATTTCACTCCATGGTTTGACCACCATTTCTAGAACTTTAATATATGATGTGGTATTGAACACAGGCCCTTTATGAAGAAGTAGCATGCTATAATATATCCCTCATTGCTCATGATCCCGAGCTCCTTTACATATAACGTGAACATGGGGAACATCATCATGGGTTTCTCCATGGAATCAGTACAGTGCCACATGTTCCTTCTGTTTACTTGTCCACCTTTAAAAAGTTTATTATTTTCAAGTTGCTGTGATTGGTAGCTAGCAGCACAAGCATGGTGTGCCTTTTACTTTCCTGTATCAAATTAGAAGGTGCCATGTTAATGCCCTTAATACATTTACAGGGTGTCCAGTAAAAAAGTGGTAAATTCAGTAATAAATTTATTTAGCTATCATGATTCATACACAAAATGAACAATCAATGTAGATGTTTGAAATGTTTGTCTGAATGTTCAACACAAAGTTGTAAACATGGTAACCAGGAGGCAGTAGCTTTGCAGATAGTATCAAGAGGAATTTCATTCCAAGCTTCAATTAAGTTCTACTTCAATGAATCAATATCAACAATGTCACAATGATTGTGAGTTAGGAGTAGACTCCACATACAATAATCCATAACATTCAGATCTGGGTTTTTAGAGGGCCACTGAGATGGATCAATTTGATCTGATGTATTTTCTTGAAAAATAAATTTACCGTTTTTTACTGGGTACTCTATAGTTGATTGTATTCATAGTTTTTTGATGACAAAAAATTATTTTTTTCATTCTTTTCTATATTTATTTCAACTGAAGCATAGCAAAAATAGCGACTTCCTTTGAATATTGAATATAGATCTTCAGCTTACAATTCTTCCTACAGGGTGCCTAGTAAAAAAGCGGTAAATTTAGAATTAAATTTATTTAGCTATCATGATTCGTACAAAAACTGAGCAATCATCATAGATGTTTGAAATGTTTGCCTAAATGTTAAACACAAAGTAGAAACATGGTAACTAGGAGGCAGTAACTTTGTGAATAGTGTCAAGAAAAATTTAATTCCAAACTTCAGTTAAGTTCCACTTCAATGACTCAATATCGAATGTGTCACAACGACAGTTTTGCAAATGAGTTAGGAGTATACTCCAGATACAGTAATCCATAACATTCAGATCTGGGTTTTTAGAGGGCCACTGAGATGGATCAATTTGATCTGATGCATTTTCTCAAAGAATAAATTAGCTGCATTTTTTCTAGGCACCCTGTACAAGAGAAATGAGAATGTCAAAATTTGACTGATGCCATGTAACATTATAACCTGATAAAAGTGTGTTCTTAAATACCTGATATACTTTGTATATTACTATTGAAAACTTTGTGTCTATGGTATAGTCAGGCATAAATGAAAGGACACATTGACCTAAGTTTTTAGGTTTTTCTTTTTTGTTCTTGTTTTGCTTGTAAAATATTGTACTACTCTGAAAAAAGTTTTATGATAAAAATTCTAAAATTTTCAAGATTAAACTTCATTTTTCCAGTTGTTTTACATTTTAAAAAAGCAACAGAATCCATATTAATTACAAGTGCTTCTGTGGGTAAAGCATTTTTAGCACAAATAATGATGCAATTAAAAAAATAAATTTTAAATTCATGAGATATTCAATTGTGACATAAGTTATAACGTTTATCTTGGAGGTTATTCACTGTCACCAAATGTCATCAAAATACATAGTATCTTTTCCAGCCAAATTAAACAATTTCTAGCAAAATGGACTGAGATATGACTTTGCTATGAGGTAAAAAAATGTATTCAGACCTCAGAAATGGTAGGTCATATGTGGTCAAATTTGACCTCGTATGACCTACAAGTTCCTTTAGCACTTTAGCTGCAGCTAAAAGTTGGAATTCTTATCATGCTTCTCAGAGAATAATAGAGCAATTCTCATTGTCATGTAGCTTCTACATGTGATTAAGGCAACTGTCCTTAGGTATCCAAAATGAAGATGTGTTCCTTCCAAGGATCCCTATGATTCCCTCAGATTTGCTTTAACAATTGAAGTGACTTTAATTCTCAGTAAGGCTCAGCTTTGCCATGGCCATCAACAAAACAAAAACAAACTCTTTAATATTTCTGATCTCAATCTGACTTTATGCTTTTCTCATAGTTAACTATTTTGGTTGCTCTTAGTTTGGATCTCTAAGTAACATTTTCTTACCAGTATTCAGTGGGTGATCAGTGGGTGAAGTACTAATATTGTGTATCATGTAGTGCCATCAACATAAAGGACTACATCATTTATTTTGCTTTAGATATCAGAATATTTTTTTAATTACAGTAACTTTCTCATATGTAAATAGTTTAATAATTTTTTATTTATTGTATAAGAAATATATTAAAAAAATTTAATCTTTGTGTGTCCTTATATTTGAAGTTATTTATTCTTGGCAATGTCAGGTATCCATGCATGAGCATATATCATATTTCTAATAAGTGCATCTAGATGAATATATATCTATATATATATATATATATATATATATATATATATATATATATATATATATAAAAAAATGCAATTTAAATCTCCTGGGTGGATGCATATATACAAATTGTTATTCATTTAAGAAACAGACACCACTAAAATATTTTTATATTTAAAAAAATCATATGGAAAATATAACATTTAGAAAATCAAAGTAAATATGAAATCTGCTAAATAAAATTGATTACTCAACCAATATTATTATTGTTGTTGTTATTTTTAGTTGTTGTTAATTTTGTTATTATTATTATTATTATTATTAGTAGTAGTAGTAATAGTAGTAGTATCATTATCATCATCATCATCATTATTATTATCATTACAGTTCATCAGGCATTTTTGTTTCTTTGTTAAATATATCTTTAATCTGAAAGAATAAAAATGGGCCTTCTGCATTTTCCCACCTCCAGATTCAGGTGACAACTTGTTGAACAGTCGCCATTTTAGATTAGAAAATTAAGGACATGGCCAGGTAAGTCTTTCTATCCATAAGTGTTTTTCTTTTCTTTTTTAAGATATGCTGATTAGATCAAGTATATTGCAATTTAGTTTATTGTTTCATCATCAGGTGTATATTTTTTAGTTGATATTTTAACCAAATTTGTTACACCTGAAATGACTGCATTTATTATTATTATTATTGATAGTTAAGTTGCTCATCACATTTATCATTAAGTCGTCGCAATATTTGTTGAAACTTCCGCTGGAAGAGACTTGACTTATCTGTAACTCTTTAAAACTCGTAATTTGTCATGATATTGAATTTACAACAGAGGATTGTCAAAAGGAGACATATATTTAGTTATTCCAAAAAATGAAAACAGGTAAATTTATGTTTATTTTACGTTATTTTATAACAATATGATCTTGTTACCTTGTATGATTGGTTTTTGAGTGTTTTTTTTTTCATTGTTGTTTTTATTTGTTTTTCTTCGAAAAGAAAAAACGTCAAAAAGGTGTACGTGTTTGAAGCTATGGTCTTTCTTTTTAGATGATATGCAATTGATTTCTTTTTTTAATTGTGAAAATTAAAAAAATTTGTTATATTTTTTTATATTTCAATTTAACTTTAATGACAGCTTTGCAAGAAGGAAGAGCGACAAAAAGTTTAATTGACTTTTGTTTGGGCCAAGAAAAAAAAGAAAAAAAATGAAAGTAAAATTGTTTTTTTACGATGTATTGTAATTTTTTGTTTTTAAGAATTTGTTTTTTTTAACTTTATTTAAAAACAGCTGTTGAAATCAGAATTCAATTTCTCATTTTATTTGGGCATTCATAGTACCTGTAAAAAAAATGTTTGCGGACATGGAGTCAGGTGAACAGGTAAAATCTCTAAAAAGTGAACATTAGAAAAAAATCTAAGTAAACACACATACCTGTTAACTTAAGTGTTAAGTTTTTTGTTTTAAGGAAAAAGTACCTGTTAAAATTAAAAAGTAAAAAAAAAAAAACAATTACATTAAGTTTTCTACAAACATCTGTGCTTTTTTCTTTAAAAGTGTACTTTATTGAATGAATAATACTTTTTTATTGGTTATTATTGCTTATTCCAACATTTCCAGTAGTCAGTGTTTGTGTTTGAATTTCAATTGTTTTAAAATTTAGTGTTAAAAAGTAATTCCAAACATTTCTAAAAAATAAAAATTTTGCTTGCTCTTACAAATTAAATATGATCTTGATAAGATGGAAATTATTTTTAAATACTGTTTTAGTTCTGTTAGTTAGTCTGAGTAATTTTTTTCTCTCATTATTCGTTTCTTGTAATTACAATTTTCCCTGTCTTTTCTTTCTTTTTTTGCACAAAAATATAATTGGCATTCTCTTGAAATTTTTATCTTTTGGGGTTTGTATTCAAGATCTACTAAATTGTATAAAAAGTAAAACTCAAATTATGCAACAATAGAATAAAAAAACTGGTCTTCCAAAATTAATGTTTTCATTTTTTTATTTTGACATGTAAATTGCGCAACTAAATTGATAGCTCGATTAACTCATCAAATTTAAAGAAATGAAATGTTATGTTTTTCGTTTTTTGGTTTTTTTTTTTTTTTGGTTTTTTTTTTGTTAAGTTCAAATGCAAAACCAAAAATAACTTTTGTATTTTTATGAATGATGTTTTAAGCTTTCGTTTCATATCGCACTTATTTTTTTACTATTGGCAATAATTTTGATTAGGCTCTTTAAAATTTTCCTTTTTTTTTGTCTAGATTAATTTCTGAAGACTATTTAATTATTTTAAATTAAACGAAACCATTTCTTTTTTTCCATTCTTATTCTCCGTCGTTATTAGTCAAATAGTCACTAATGACTAATGAATGACATCATGTGTGAGATCTTCAAATATTTATCTTAAATTTTTTTTTTTATTAAATACAGTTCTAAAAAAGAAAACAATGTTAAAAATTAAAAAAAAATATTGTGGAAAATAAAAATCCGGTCGATCTGATGATTGTGCAATTAAAAAAAAATTTTTTTTCCTTATAAACAGCTGTCTTAGGTAAAAAAATAAATATAAATTAAATATAACATATATGGAATGAAATTAAGATATAAATCAGTAGGTATTTCCAAAAAAAGTGGATAAAATAAAATTGTTATATGTATTTTTTGAAGTGTTATTTTAAAAAAAATAACCGCAAAAAGTATTGCATACTGGAATGTTCTATGAACTTTTTAAAAACTTTGTATGGGGAATATACAAAATTTATAAATATCAAAGTTTTTCACAGCACATTTTTGGGGGGTTGTTTTATTATTTATTTATTTTTGTTTTTTTAGTTTACTTTTGTTTGAAGTTTCTTTTTAAAATAAAAAAAGTATACTCAATATACTGTCTCTAAAAATTGTTCATATTGTTTTGCAATCAGTTTGAAATAATTTTTTAAAAATCTAGTTTTGTTTGATTATGCATCTCTTGTCTTAGTTATTGCAATGATAGTTTTTATTTTATTTTCGCTTTTTTATTGTTAAAGTTAGCATTTAAGTTTATGTTTAAGTTTAATCATTTTTTTAGTTTAGTTTAGCTCATTGGAATAATTACACAAGCAAGCTGTTATGTCATTTTTGGTCTCTTTGTTTTTATTCAATTGGCCATGGTTCTTTAGCGTTTTTATTTGAAATTCTTCATTCATATTTTTTTGTTCATTAATTCACATATGTTTTTTTTTTTGTTTTTTTTTGTAAGAATATGCTCTCAATATCAATGATGGCTTTTTTTTGTTTTTAGTGTATCCCAATATCAGGAGGTCACCTCTTCACAACTTTTAAACATTTCAGAATTTTTTTTTTTTTTTAATCAATTTACCCCGAGCAGAGCAATATAATATGTCAGGAGGGACTATTGATAGTAAGAGCAGGAAACTACATTAAAGAGACCGGAAACCCCAAATTTCAGAGTTTAGAGAGGCAGTTTTAGAGAACTATATAGAAATAGAAATCAGAAAGGACTGTAAATAAACCCAATCCTAAACAGAAAACAAAGGATAGATCTCTACTATTCAAAAGATCAGGGAGGAGTTATAATTATTTTTACAATTATACGCGGACTATTGTCCCCATGTTTGTTATCACATTTTTTGGCCATTCTATCCTCCAGAACTTCGTCAGGTTCTTGATGATCTGGGTAACTTTCAGGGAATTTCAAACTGAACCCATTATTTAATCTATGTAGGTAGATGTTCTCATTCCAGTGCCATGTCCAGTGACATCTCCCATGGGACAACAGCCTAGGGGATTAAACTTTAAAGTTGTTGGGTTACCTCCTCCTAATTTTCGAATCTGTTACTATGGGAAGCTCTCCGTCACTACTCTGTGATAATTTTTTATCACTCTCTTCTAATCTTATCCATCCAGAGTCCAGTTGGAATCTTTTCCAGATGTGCTGATCAAACTCTCTACCTTTGGGCTGAGTGGATTCCCAATACAAGGCTATGTCGAAGGGCAGAGTCTCGTCTTGGGGAAACAGCTATCCGATCCTGTTTTATACGGGAATTTTTGGCTGAGCCTACGGGTTCGGATTCCCCCACTTTAAAACTCAACCTTGTGCCACATCTTACCTTGTGGGGAGGTTGGTAAATATATACATCAATATGTAAGACTCTCATGGAAAAATGCATTCCCTTTTGGGAAACACATGAACAATACATACCCACACATACATACACACATTCACTCAATTCATTTTGAACCACATTCATTTGTTACACACATTATTGTCTTTGTTACTTGTAACCCTTTATTGTTAATACATTATCATTTGTTTGTACATATATATAGGTTCTTGTTTTTTCTTTACAATTCTTTATGTGGACTCACATCCCATGTCTGTCATGTTTGTTGTGGACATTTTCAGGAGACACTCGTGTTTTATCTCTCAGTGCATACACTGGCCCGCAACAAAGTGTTGGTTAGTGAATTTAGTGACATAGTAATTGTGAGTTCAATCTCTGAGCCAGACACTGTGTACTTGGATTTGTGCAAGTAATAACTAAGAAATACTACATGAGAACTAGATGAGATATAGTTAGCCAATTCTTGTTGCAGATGACTGCTTCAGCACAGAGACCAACTGTGGTTTATAATGCAACTATACTAAGCAGACCATAGTTACAATTTCTGAGAGAGAGTGCATATTCTGGTGTGGTCAATGGTATGAACAAGACCAGTATGTCCAAATCCTCAGTCATAAATGACTTGTCACTTTGTGCTAGCACAGTCATTGACAAACTGTTTCACTCACAAGGCTTGGCTCAATCTCTGGTATGATGTTCAGGCACTTTGCAACAATGCCACATGCTTGGATTGCACCCCAAGGCTGATGACATTAAGAAGACATCTCTGATAAATTGACTATGGTGAGATTCAAATCTGAGTTTCATGGTCAGAAAGTGAATGTTCTAGCCATGTTGTTATCTACACACTAATGTTAGTCTCAATCAGTTATGTGCCATGCAGGATACATGCTTAAGTGATCATCTAACTTTCGATATATGACTGACGAGGCCATTTTTTTACCCCCTCAGTAGGTTGTCATTTCTTTATGCTATAGAACCCCGTCTGTCCTGCTATTTACCCATAGCTGAGGGGAGAAGAAGAGGATTCATACTTTAACTAAGGGTATTAGCACATAAGTGAATGTAATGGATTTGACTGGAATTTGAACTCGGCTCTCCGATTACTCAATCTGAGCCGTTATCCATTACTCTACCATACCTCCCGATGCTACTATAATTATGTATATATACATGAACTTATATATGAAAAGTGTATGTATATAAATATATATATGTGTGCAATATGTTATATATATTATTTATATATTATATGCGTGGTACTTATTGGAAAGTGCTCAATATCAGAGATAGAGCTAACATATTTAGTTGGAAAAAGGAACCTTGAATGAAATTACTGCTGGTTGAAGTTCAATAAATGATATGCATTTGAAATGACAAATGACTTTTTATACATATTCTTTTGATTTAAAGGTACACTGGTGTAGAAAGTTTTTGTTTCCAAAAATTGTTATTCAGTATTTCTTTTGGTGATTAAGATGATGGTTAAAATTGAGTAGTTTGATTTTAAATTCATTTTATAGCTTCTGCTATCAGTAGAGAGTGTTTAATTTTTGCAGCTGGGTAGTGTTTTTTGAAAAGATGCTTTAGTTCTTGTAACCTACTGAAGAGAGAATGTGTGTGTGAGCAGTCTGGAAATGGTGTCTCTTGTAGGAGAACAACTATGGATATTGGTTGGTATGATGAGGCAAAGAAAGGCTTTGAAATATTGTCTGATTAGATAGTCATCTCATTTCATTGATTAGAAGACATAA